GGGGCTGCTTCTTTAAGCAGCCTCCACTAGTACAAGCTTGCACAGAAAAGACATACTTTGTAAATGGAAAGAGATTCCCAATAATTGCTGAAGTTCCTAAGCCTTCATATTGACCACAAGGTTGAAGATCAACCAAGCCAGTACATGTCAAAATGTATTTCTCTATGGGCCCAGAGTCATGGGTGAGGCTTGTCCAGTGAAGTAAAACAGAGTGGTCACTAACAGGAAAGGCGGGATTTAAATGCAAGCTTCCCGTAGGTGTCCCAGATTTTGTTCTGTATGTCACTGAGACACTTCTTGTAAAACCATGAACATTGCTGACTTGGATGTAATAGGAATAGAAGGTGTACGGAGACAACATGGTATCAGTGAAGGTCTGAACACCTAAAACAAACAGAAGAGAAGAAAACTGCATGAGTAACACAAGAAAAATAATCCTAATTTGCATACTTAAAGTCTTTCCAGCCCTAATCTAAGATCCAAGTTATTTATTTCTCCTTGCATATGATCATAGAGTGGTTACGGATGGAAAGGACCTGAAGATCATCCAGTTCCATGCTTTTCTTGATATCATTGTGAACATAGTAACTTCTCAATCACCTTTCTTTTAAAACAGGGAATCCCCCCCACTTTTTCCATTTATTATCTTCCACAGCATATTGGCATCACTAGAGAAATAATTTTTCCACTGAATTTCTCCTAGTTCATGCTTCAATCATGAGTAAGATTAATACAATCATCCTCTTATACCTTTTTGGAAATAATTCTTTCAAACGTAAATCACCACTGATTTAGAGGGTCAGATTTAGAAAAAAAACCAAACAAAACCATTCTGACAGGTTTTGTATCTTTGCTTTTTATTCGCTTTGTAGTGTAAGACCAAATATTTCATCTTTCTGTGCTTTCACTTCTAATATGGTGCTTAACAGTTCATTTTTAAAGCACCTGATCTTGGATGAAAAGTGAAATAATTATTAAAAAGGTATATCCAAAGTTTACATTTACCTTCCTTACCCCTCACTTTCCATTATTCTAGATAGCTTTGTAGCTATTGTGGACACAGCTGCCCTGGCTGAAGTGCCTCTGGGCACAAACGTGGGTACCAAAGCCACCGCGACAAGCGTGTCTTGGACAGGCTGGTCAGAACCCTGGGAGCAGGAGCATGACCAGCAGTTGCTATAAAGGCAAGTAAGAGCCTGCCACATGTCCAGTTCCCTCTTTTGTGGCCAGAGAAAAGAATGGCCACAGAGGCAGTGCGAGTCAGCGCTACAGAAATCTGGGAGAGCTACACTTCATGGGATGATCAGATGCTCATCCTATGCGCCTTCGACTTAAAGGGACAGAGAAGAAAATAAGAAAGAAAAAAACCCAGTGAGACTGCTATCAGCACCTGCAAGTATCAGAACTCCTTTTGAGATGACAAAATAGGAGTACTCCCTGAACTAGATTCTAGGACCTCCCTGCCTCAGAACCAGCAGCCCCAATCTAGAACCATGGGGTTACTTAGAACCAGCTCTAGGACTACCTGCCTACCTAGCTACCAACTCCAGAATTCACACCTGCTGTAGAAACAACTGCACCAATACCACCCTACCTCTACAACCATCCCACCCTCCAAAAACAGCCTCTGGAATGGGCCAGGACTCTACGGATTAAGGGTCAACCCAGACTCAAAGGCCACAGGGTCTAATGTTGACAGCAAGCACATTACTTTTCAAATGCAGACATCAGAAGAGGCAGATCACCCAGAATGCTGATCTCATCTGCCAGAAAAGTAAGCAGCACCATGAACATGAGCAGGTTCAGTCAGTATTGAATTGTGAGCTTTCCAAATTCCACACTATACCGAGAAAAAAATGTCATTGAAAGTTCTTACACAGCATAAGCAACCTATTTGTGATATTTAAATGCCAGCAGATGACTTCGCATCATTAAGTAGGGGGATTACCAGGAAGTGTCAGAAACATCTTTGGAAACAAAATCTATGTTTGCACAACATAATGTTTTGTTAAATAGAAACGTGTTAATGTGTTGTTGACCAGCTAAATGCAATCAGAAATTTTCACTCTCTATAAAGTATTTAAGCACAGGCATGAAATAACATCCTCAATCATGCACTCAGTTTCAAGTGCATTACTAAGCACAAATTTATGACAACAAAGTATAAACAGCTTTTCTTTTGAAGTTAATTCCCATTTTCACTAAAGTTAAGCTTTTAAACCAAACTGTGGAATTGGAATGTTTTCTATCACCCCTCTAAACCTTTTTTAAATGTTTAGTTCTCTCCTCTCATTTAATTCCATGCTTACATGGGGTCGCATACCTTTCCTCATGGTATACACTGCAGTGTCCAAATTCACAGCGTAAGGCACAGAGTAATCAACTGTAACACAGCAGGATGCACCAGAATGTAAAAATACTAGGTGCATTCCAAGGATCTGTGCTGCCATTGAGTAAAGGTCTTTTTGTTTTTCCTCCAGGGTAAATGCCAGTAATTAGAAAGACTCAACTCCTGTAAAATACTAAGGCTGCGTTGAGATGAAAATGCAACAAACTAAAGAAGCTGCCAGGACAGAACTCAAACCTTAGTACCACGAAACCACATCTAGTCTTCAAAAAGGGAAAAGAAAAAAAAAACCCAACCCAAAAAACAACAAATCAAAACAAAACACTTTGATAAGAGGATCAATAGTAGCACAAAATGGCCTTTCCAGCTAGGACAGAGTGTTGAATCCTTGAGGATTGCCCTCTGAGGATCCCTTTGCAAGCCTCAACATGACAGAAGTGGTGCTGCTGGAGGCAAGTCAGGAGCTCCACTTAACAGAAGGTGCTAAAACTTAGAGGCACTTTCCTAATCTGTTAACAGTTTAAAACCGCGAGGAGGAAAAAAAAGGACTTTAAGCACATTAGGGTCTGTTCCACTCACTCTAATTCTTTATCTGGGACTTTATGCTTCTTTTAGATTTTGGAGAAATTTGGAGAGAACACTTCTGTGGAGAGTCAATTTTAAAGTGTTTCCGATTGGAAAGTAAAAAATTATAAGTCATTTTGGGTCACTCAGTTTGCCAGATATTTTAGACTGGGGAATTTGTTTCTCTGAAGGAAAATTAGTAACACAGAACAATAACTCACTAAGGGAAAAAAGAACTATGTATTCAAAAACATAGAATAATAATGACAGAAATGAGAAATCTCTAAGAAAAATTGCACATATACATAGCTATGTACACACAAACCCACAAATTCTTTGATGTCTTATTATAAATACTTACTGTAAGGGTGGTAGTCTTCAGTTGTATAAATTTCAGCCTCATCCCTATACAGCTGGTAAATAAGCCTGTTAGAATTTGGAGAGTCAGGGGAACTCCACAAGAGGCTGATGACAGAGGAATTGAGAACTTCTCCTGTAGGAGGAGGTTGCTGGAATGGAGCTAAAAAAAAACCCAAAACACCACCAAAAAAAGGAGGATGTAAAAATGAAGGTAATCAATAATCACACAAATTTAAATAAAAATGCAAAGAAAATCCTATGTTTCCTTCAAGTAAAAAATGACAAGTAAAAATGACACATATATGAGTGACACGAGTCACCCAGGCAAGACATTAATAAACTGATCCATCCCAGTGCTTTCCAACAAAGCTTTTTATCCAAGAATATCTGTCCTGGTCACAACTGGGATAGTTAATTTTCTTCCTGGTAGCTTGGTGCAGTGCTGTGTTTTGGCTTTAGAGACCAATGCTGGTAATGCACCAATGTTTTGGTTGTTGCTAGATAGTGGTTACCCTAAATCAAGGATTTTTCAGTCTCTCCTGCTCTGCCAGTGAGGAGGGGCACAAATTTGAACCAATTAAATGAGAGATGGTTCATGCAGTAGCCCTTGGACCAGTCCAGGCCAGGCAAGATGTGAAAAGTGTGCTCTATGCCATAGCCCAGGAGAATGGTCCTACCTGGAGCCTCTGGCAAAACACACCAGGGGAGATTCGAGGTTGACCCCTTGGCTTTTGGAGTCGGGGATACAGAGGATCCAGGGGGGGCTCAACTTAGATACTGGCAGCCTATGAAGGGGTTCGAGCTGCTTCAGAAGTGACTGGCACTGAAGCACAGCTCCTCCTGGCGCCCCGGTTGCCCATGCTGGGCTGTACGTTCAAAGGGAGAATCTCCTCCACACATCATGCAACTGATGCTACGTGGAGTAAGTATGCAGTGGGATGGATTAATCACACAACGGGCTCAAATAAGAAATCCCAGTCATCTCGGAATCTTAGAAGTGATCATGGGCTGGCCAGAAGGCAGACTTCGGAATGTCACCAGACGAGGAGGTAAAGTGTTGAAGAGGCCCCACTGTATAATAAGTTACCAGCTTTGTTGGTTGGGGTTTTTTTCATTGGGGTTTTTTTGCAGGGTGGAGTGTGTGGTTATTCCTTTCTCTATTTCCTATTATTATTATTTTTATATTGTTATTATTACATTTTACTTTATTTCAATTAAGCTTTTTTAACTCAACCCATGGGGTTTTACCTTGATTCTCCACCCAATCCTACTCAGGGAGGGGAGAGTGAGCAAGCAGCTGTGTTGTACATAGATGACAGCTAGGCTTGGACCACAACAACATCAAATTTACACATTTAAACAAATGACAGATAAACTTAATCCATCCTTCCATTAAAGCAAGTACACCACAGTTTTCCAAATACTTTTTTTTCTTTTTAATGTATTTCAAGACCTCTATAAAATGGGAAGGAACATGTCTATCTGGTCACATTATTCAAGTCTATATTTCAAATATAAACATACAACTCGTATATTATTTAGAGGATTCAGTCCATCTTCTCCTAGGCCAGGCATAACTTCCTCTAATAGAATAGAAATGGAAAGTTCATCTAACGACAATTTTTACTGAAGTGTTACAATAAGCCTGCTTAATCAGATGACAAAAAACAAAGAGGAAAACTTTGAAGGTTATTTAGACAATTCACTCCCATTTGTTTCCAATGAAATTTAAATCAATGAGAGCAAGGTAGCTAACATTTTAAGAAACCAGCTTGAGATTCTTATTTACCAAAACACTACTCTGCTATCACCTCCATTAACTCTGGAAAATGTGCTGCTTAATTGCTCTGGTATCAAGGAAGAGAAAAAACAAACCTCAAGTTCACAAGTCAAGTGTCTCACATTTTCAGAAAGAGCAAAGCCCTTCCTATGTCTCTTTTGTAATCCAACTTTATGATCATGGTCCATTCTAAGATAATGGCTATTACTCAGTAATTAAACTTTGGATGCACAGATATACATATATACACAGATGTGCATGTAAACATACTGTTTTATGGTTGGACTCAATGACCTTAAAGATCTTTTCCAACCTAAATGATTCTATGATTCTGTAGTGTGGATCTAGAGGAAAACATTTTGGTCCAAGAATGACAATAGGGCTGTACAGAAATCAGCATATAAAGTAAGCTACCAGGAGCTGGATCCAGAACCACCCAATAAGCTTTTCTTCCCCACATTGATACATATATAAGCATCCTTACATTCACACATACATATAATTTCTTCCTTACATTTTCTTCCTTAAATATAGGAAAATATCAACATTAGAAACATGTGGGTATCATTCATTTTGTCTCCTTCTGTTTATAAACTATCATCATCTTCATTACATGGATATTTGCTTAACACACACTATTCACCAAAAGTTAATTGTCAAAATCTGTTTGGTCAAGCTAACAGGAGACAAGAAGCAAAGAGTGAAGTTGCAGACAGAAAACGACATGAGGACCTCAAGCCACACAAGTGATGGATGTGGAGACTTACGCCAACATCAATGGCTTTTTAAACATATGGGGTTTTAATACAAACCTAAAAGGAGAGTTGAAGCTTTATCAGAGTAAGATAATGAAAAGCCCTGCTTCTACTGCAGTCTCTCAGCCAACACGTAGCAGAATATATTTCAGGATTCATTGCATTCAACAGAACACAGTCATCATCTCCCATTAGAAAGCAGAGGTTGCATTGCTGCCAATCTAGAGGGGTTTTGTCCAGCTGAGTTAGGAAGTGAATGCATGCTTAAGTATCTACAGGAGTACAGAATCCAAAAGAGAGAAGTGCTCCTAAATCTCTTTGGCATTTTGGAAAGTTTCTCTCCATGTAATACATGCTCACAAGACCTGAGCAATCATAGAAATTTATCAGCATAACCTTTATTCTCCATTCTCAGTCTCATGCTACCACATATTACTCCTATGTGTCTGCTGGTTTGCATTGTGGATGTGTAAGCAAAGTATTGGAAGTCATATTCTTCCTATAGAACATCTAAGATATTATTGGGCAGAAAACTGAAAATAGACCTTTTCCTTAAATATTGTTAGTTAACAGTGACAGCAACTTATGTTTGCTTCCCTCTGCAAAGACTTATAATGAGTAATGGTCTGGGTCAACAAATACTATTCTGCAATGACAATAACCCTACCTACTAAGCCAGGCAAAGCTGCCTGTCTGTGCAACAAGTTAAAATATTTTGGTATGAATAACCAAAGGACTGCAATTGCTATATCATTTATGTCCAGAAGAGGACTCCACTTGTCATTTCAAATACAGCCTGATGTATTTTTTTTCTAACTAAAATCTATGGTATTACTTATCTGTGCCATATCATTATTAATCAATTTTATAGTTGAATTGCCATTGACCTTTATCCAATGTATATCCCAACATAAATAAGTAGGTTGGTTTATGTTTGCAAAGCACTTTGAAGATGAACAGCATCATAAAAGCGCCATGTATAGTTATTATTATACATTCAGTTGAAACATCCTACATGTTTTAAAGATACAACAAGCCAATTAACTACCTGCACGATGAATAGATATTATACCTTCTACAGAAGAGTATGGGGAAAAACAAAACCAAACTGTATCTAAACACTTAAAAGAAAAACATAAATCTCTTTGGAAACAAATCAATCTCTTCCTTCTATCCCATTTATAGCATCGTGCATTTCACAACACACGTTATTTGAAATTTAAACTGATTTACAGTGAAATACAAACTAGAATCAAAGGGATTCGATTCCAGATTGAAGCTCGCTGTCCTTGTAAACAAACTCTTTGTGTACGTACATGCTTGCAAATCAATAGTGTGCACATATCACAATGATGAATATCATACAAATACCTATGCAGCATACACAAAGAAATAATTTGTTGAAGGAGGATCCAGAAACATACTCCAGAGATTAGTGGGGAATGTTTAACCCTGTTGTTGCATTACACATGACTACCAAAGTCTCACAGTAGGATTGGTGTGGCCGTTATTAATTAGGCCTGCTGGCAGAAACAACTAGTTAGCATCTGAAGAACACCTCATTCACATTGCATGTTATGGTGTCCTCAAAGCCTGTTTCTGAACATTGACCTGAAGACAACTTGATAATTTTCTTATTACATATATTTTTCCTCTCCTCCTTTAAAATCCCCACCAGCTTTGCACTGCTGAGTAAATCTGAACATTTAATTCTGACTAATTATGACACAAAGGCTGAAATCGTGCTCTCTCTTCAGATCCAGACTCACTGCAAGGGCAGAAATGCAAATGCTCCATTGCAATGTGTTTCCTTACAATTCCTGATCTGACCCTCAGCGTAGCATTAGGCCCACCTCACACATGCAGATTTATGACACTTTCTTAAACCATATTGCATATATTCCCAAAGCACCTAAAAAGCAGCCTCCAGACGAGAGAGGCTACTTTGCAGGGAGAAGCAGATTCTGAATTAATCACAGGGAGCAGGTCTTCAACAGATCTGAAAGCAGACCTCCTGCCTCCTGTCAATGGCAGGAAAGGTGGCTAAGCTGTAAGCTGTACAAATACTATTGCATTTGCGTGACTAAAAGGTGAACTCTGCATTGGTCACTACAAAGAATATAGTGGGAAGTGCAAGGGAACTATAGGCCACTATTTCTCACCAGGTAAGACTGCAAGCATAAGCTGTGTGTATGACATGAAGCATTCTGTGCATCTCTCTAGAAAACACTCCTAAGGCACTCCCAGTGAAAATCACCCAAACTTCAGAGACCAGATGTGGTCTCTGATGTGGCAGGGAGGAGTCAAACCCAGTTTTAGTACCTCTGACCTAATTTAAAACTCACTAAATCAATAAAAACAAAATACTGATTTGAAAGACATGCTTTTAAGACCTAACATCCACTTACTTTTACTGCAGCCAAATAGGTTGTGGACATCCAAATTACTGGCATCGGGAACACAGTTGTCACATTTCAAGCCAGTTACAAATTGTTTACAAAAACACTGTCCAGTAACAAGATGACAAGTCCCACTAATGGCTCCTGCAGGATGACAATTACAGTGCTGACATCTACAAACAAAAACAAAGTGAGGAAGTGATCAAAACACATTAACACTTTAGTTCAGCACAGCAGGGCTGGGTTTAAAGGATCCATGGGTAACGTAATTAAAGAATCATAAACAGATCAGGAGCTTGAGACACAGGAGAAAACCTATTAGTTTGGTGAAAAGAAACTTACCAAAAAGCTGCCCGTTATAAAAATAAACATTAATGGCTTAATGCCAGAATAATATTCTAAATTAGACTAAAACTGCTTAGAATTAAAGAGCTTTTATGTATATATTTATCTACACAGAAACTGGATAATAGCATTTGGCAATAACCACATTATGCACTCAGTCCTGCCACACTTACTCATCCAAACTTTCTTGCAGAGCTCTGGGGTTCACCGATACATGTGTACTCTGCATACTGGAGTACACTGATGTGGTTTGATAGGTTTCTGTACAAAATATGAAAACCTCTAACTTACAGAAAACTGGGCTTTTGTTGAAAAAGAAATCAGTTAATAATTTCTTGTCCACAAAGGCAACTTGAAGTTGAAATAACTAACACGCTGTGAAGACAGGAGAATGAACGTAGGCAGAAATTGGGTGGAAAAAACCCTCAGATTAAAACAGTGAAAGGAAACAACATAGCAAAACTCTGGATTTTGTAAGAGAAAGAACATTTTCTTTGGAACCTGATGGACAAAACTGAAAATAACTAAAAAGAATATTTGATTAAATGTGTACATCAACTTATTTTTTAATTTAGAAGAAAAACAACTTTAAAAGCATTGGTATCACACAAATGCCACATCTTCTGTAAATCTCTCTGGCATCAGTCACGTACTTTCAGGATTAATTTATGGTTTGGCTTTTACATGTGAAACCTCTTGCAATCAACTTCTCTCGCGATCACCTTGTTTTTCATTTGATATAGTATTTTTCCACTGACATTCATTTATAGCAGGGATACTAATATCAGACTATGCAAATATTCAAAGACTCAGAGCATCTCAGAAGTTAAGCAAAGCAATTTTTTGCTGACTGCAAACACTGTTATGCTACCTATTGCAATACAGACTGCCATTATTTGTCATAACAGAAAGCCAACAATGGCAAATAAAACTTTGCACTTTAGATCCTAATTGCACGATACTTCAATTGCTGCACACCAAAGGAGTTTTAAAATAACATGGACTGGGGAAAACGTGGGACTCGGGACTCTGCAGTGCAGCTAAAACATACTGTGAAATCTATACTTCACTCCCCTTGCCCTGAGTTTGAAAAGTCCAATTCTCAGGCGTAAGCAGCATCAGCCTTGAAGGAATCTTAACTTCCTTCAGGTGCTACGTCCCAAGATGCCAAAGCAGCAAAAAAGACCTTGAAGAAGCACAAGAGGAAGAGAGATAGTCATGCCATGCTCCTTTTGCTCTGCTAACCCTAAGACTTAGACAAGACTTGTTGATTTATATTTGTCTGATCTTCCCTTGTCCAGTTTCACCAGATCTAGGGAAGTAAGTGGTGATGCCTTTACACAAGTTACTTTGCCATTTTCACATTCATCACTATCACCTTAGTCTATCTCTTATCTATACAAAGGCAGAGATAAAAGTGAGTTCAGTTATGGTTAATGGCTTTTTAAAGTAAGGGAGGGTTGAAACTGTTTTCACATTAGGACACTAAAATTCAGGTCAATAATCAGTGAAATAGACACTAAATGTGACAGATTTTTAAACAGGTTTAAGAAAACTTTCACATACATTTTCTGCCCATCACAGAGCTCTCTGTATTAAGAGTTCCTTTACTCCACAGCAGCTCGTGCTGTGTGATCTCCTGGGGAATCATTCAACACCCTTAAAAAGGCTGGTAAAAGCTAAAGCTGCAAAATAAGCTGCAAATTTGTTTTATGGACTAATATCCTTTTGGGAATAAATAAAATACATTCTCTCTTGGAAACCACTATACCGTAGTTTGCTCTCTTTTACAGTCAAGAGAAAAGGGCAATTTTTTCAAACTGTATTAAGTCTTTTCATCTGTAGACAGTACATTCAAATCCCCCTTCAAATAGAGGTTTTATTCAGACTATTTAAATGTCATGACTGAAAAAAAAACCAGTTTGGTTACAGATAAAAACGAAGACAGAATTATTTGCTCAAGAAGAGAGCAATTTATTATTTCATAATTTCATTGTGTGATGATAATTTAGTACATTGGGGGGGTAGTTAACAAAAGTGTCTCGATAGATAAACAGTAAAAGACAAGCTGCTCTTACTTCTCCTGTATGTTACTGCACCTCTTCAGAATAAGGGTCCCCTGAGCATTCCAGTTTTCATTATCATTCACACATGAGACAATCAAACTCACATACAGCCACAATAATAGTTTCCAGTGCCTGGCAGGGTGGGGCTGCTGCTTTCTGCTTGTTGCATTTAATTCTAGGGTAAGCATAGGGTCCTTACCTCCACCTACACTGAACTGGGCTCGAGATCCTGCAAATAGCATCATACATGTCATCATATTCTGCTCCATAGGATTACACATCATGTTTGTGTAATCACATGCATCATTTTCTTAAACTGCAGAACACCAGAACCAGCTTGGTTGCTATGCACAGTTCACGCTTTGCAGTCAGGATTAAGGATTCAGCCAATTAAGGATCTTAAAAAAAAAAAAGTAATAACTAATTCTTTGAAACTTTTAATCGTGTAAAAAATATTTTCAGCATTATTGCTAAATGCCACTTCTTCAAGATTCTCCGAGTCAAACACGTTTGAGTTTTATTAAAACCGAATTATATATAATCAAGGAAAACAGACTTTTAAAACATGGAAAGAGAAATGTCAGGCCAAGATGAATTGCAATATTGATTTTGTGAGGATAAATGGGTTTTGTAATATTAATATAGAGAAACCTTTATTACATTGACTCTCTAGGTGCAGTTAGAGCCTCTCCAGCAATCTGTTTAAAATCTTCATTTTTCATCCTTATGGGAAAACCTCACTTGCTAAATGGATTTCATAAACAGTAATCTGTCAAGATATATATATATAGATAAACAATTTGTGATGTTCATCGACCAGTTCATTATAGTAAACAATACAGAGGTAAAGCATTTCAAATGTGTACCAATGCCCACAACCATTACAGATCTGTTCACACTTCTGCAAGACCCCAGTATTTCTAATTCTTTAATTGCCAAAGAAATTTACCTGCTTCATAAGATGAAATGCATTAAAAAATGTGGAGTTCCTGTGTTATCTCAAAAGCATCACAAAATAAATCAGCTCACATCTACATTCCTTGGAGTGGGAGAATTTTAAAGCCTCATGGTCTGTGTATAACAACTTTTGCTTCTTTTCTGCTATTGTGCTAAGGCAGATATGCCTTTGCCACTACATGTAGCTCACCCTTTTCATTCTGTAACCACAGCATCCGTAAAAGACACTTACAGCAGGGATGGTTTAAATGACTTTGTAACTTTATGGAGAAAGAAAAGGCATATTACTCTTTTAAGAAGATGTTAACAGTTAAATAAATGGATTAAAACAGATTAACAAATAAAGACTTGGATTATCATTTACAGTGGGAAAGCATTTCTGCCCAAGGAACAGAGGTACACTGCCCAAGCAGATGATAACCAACAGGAAGCCAAGCATATGCAACACAAGTTAATCATGTTAATGTACTACCAGAGCAAGTCTTCAATACTGTCATGAGGATTAAGTAGTATTAAGGCATTAAAGGCAACTCTGATTCAAATTGCAGAACTGTAAAAACTTTCTATCTGTACAACCAGATCTGGATCTAGGTAATTCAAGTTATTTCTACATTTTGAATTTCAGAAGACAGCTCAAAATGCAGGTAATTGAAGGCCAATATCTAGTTCAGGACAGCTGTTGCTTAACATAGACACAAACCTCTCCATCAGCTCCTAAAACAAAACAAACCAACCACCTCTCTTCCAAGTAACTAAAAAAAGTGGTCATTAATAATAAGGAAAAGATATTTAAAAGGGAGCTTTAATATTACACACATTTTATTCCTCACCATTAGAAACGACAGGAAGTGAAAATAGGAAGTCCTTATTCCTACAGATTACTTTACGGCCATTAGCAGATGCCTCTGTGACCCACAACAGTAAAAAATAGTTGTAAAAAATCTCCCAATGAGTGACAGTAACATAAAAGTTACAGTGAAAAACCTGCAGAATACTGTCAAATATATGCGAGATGACACTGACAAGCGCTGCCTAAAAGCATGTCTACCCCACACTAGCTGGGGGAAAGGAGCGCAGGGAGGGGGATGTTGTACACGTTGTACAGATTTTGCTTCTGCCTGTGGTTTTTTTGTTTGGTTGTGGTTTTAAAGGCAAAAATACTAAATATAACAATTTAACACAATCAGCCTGCATTAAAATATGGTTAGCATTACAGCTGCACAATCTTTCTGGACAATATTTAAAAGGAAATCGAGATTGTGTGGATTAAGCAAGAAAGATGATCCTGGAAAAGAAAGATAGAGCAATAGCTGGAATAAAAATGCACTACCTATAGATATGTTTTCCTCCTTACATTCCAGGGAATATATCCATATGATTTCAGTGTACTTAGAGGCCCCCAGGCTACATTAGATAAACAATTTACCCTGTGGCACATAACTAAATGCTGAAAAAGAAAACACTGCTTCAGAAAAACAGATTTTTTAAAGAGGAAAGGTGCTGTATTTCTACTGCTGCTGCTAAACAAAATTTGGGAAGACAGGGATATCTGTATTTTTATTTTTACCTCTTTTTCCCCCCCAGTAAAATATCTGAGATCTTCGAAAGCATTCACTGATTATAAGAATGGCAAATTACCTGCATTTTAATAGTCAGCAAGTAACACCTCAGAAACCATCACATCTTATTGAAGATACAGCGGAAATGTAGATAAACAAATACATTAGACAGCATTAGCATTATACAGCTTTCATGTTATTTCTACTTCAGGCTGTGGCAAAACTTCTATTTCCTTCAGTTCCTGGAGTACAGAGGGTTGTGTAACGTACCACATGTAAACCAGAGTGCACACATGAATTCAGAGAAGGATTAATGTAACTGGAGCACATCTTCTCATTGTCACTAAACTTTCCAAATAGCTATGAGAAAAAGGTACTGAGGAGGCTATGTGTACCTGTAACAAAGAAACACTCACCTCCCTGTGACAGAGTCAAATCCAAAATACAGTTCTTTGCAACGTTCACATGTCTGTCCTGTTACTGAAGCGTCTTGGCAAATACATTGGCCAGTTAGTTTATCACAGACCTGATTCACTGAACCAGCTGTGTGGCACAGGCACGGCAGACAGCCAGTGACACTGGATGAAGAAGAGTAAAAACCTGGAAAGAAAGGGGTTTTGAGAATAGAAATTATACAAAAAGTGAACACAGTAAGATTATTATTAACTTGTGTGTAGTAGGGGATGAAACAACAGAACCAAACCTTAGGTAACGCACACATCAACTCAAATAAAGCAATATAGTCCTCCTGCAGAGCTGAGCTTCTAAATCTTCTCATTGGCACTTTGTAAAGCTATTATTCATCCTTCAGTTGCCAACTGTGATTTTTTATTCTCTCTCTTAAGACTTTATTTTAGACAGAGCAAATGCAAAATAGGGGGAGTACATTAATGTGTCTGTAGAGAAAATAAAGACCCAAGGACATGAGAGGTAATAGCGAATGCACCACAAGCAGTAGAAACATAAAAAATAAGATATGAGAACAGACATTTGTGCATTCTACTCTGGGATCTCATCTCTGAAAATGGCCAGCTGCAAAACATAAGAAATGCCCATATTTTCTTAAATAAAAAAACACAAAATCTCTTAATCTTTCTCAACCAGTGACTGGCTTAATCCTCGAAACATGATGATACTTAAGGAAAAACACACTTGATGAGCATTCCCAGATCTATGTAAAATTTATCTTTTCCTCCTCCTCAACACAGAACTTGTATCCTACACAACTAATTTTTCAGAAACTAATAAACTGATGAAAAGAAGTTACTTACCTGCTACTAAAAAGCTTTCATTCTCAACCCTATTCTGCTCCTCTATTGTTTCCAATTATAAACCGGAGTGCTCACTTCGCCTTCTCCACAGTATATTTGGTATGCTTCTGCTACACTACCTTTCATCCTGTTGCCCTCACAAGCAATCTTTATCTATGCAAGTCTCCAAGACATTACTGATAAATACAGTTATATAGAGTTTATACATCCCTAATCTGGTCATTGAAGAACTTACCCATTATTCACAGCCTCGCTCAAAATTCCAAACAAAAGAGGTTCTACACACATTCTTTTAATGATGCTGTACCACTCGCATAATCTATTTGGCTATACATGCACTTACTCCATTCTTACTATTTTCTATATCTGATTAGAAGACAAGTCGGGTAATGGCACACCACTAAGAACTTTCTGAAATTATTTTCTGGTTTTATCCAATTATTAATACATATTTAACTGTCTTTTTCCACACAAATTGCTCTGCTTTTTCTTTGCTTTTGGATGGTACAGTTCATTGAAAATGTAGCCATGTATGACAGATCTGCAAATGGTGGTGGTGACACAGCATTAACGGGCACTAGTTAACTGCAAGTAGGTATCTTTGACCATCAATCCTAAAATAGGGCCATTGACAGGAGTTTCTGTCTCTGTCAGCTGGTTACTATTAATTATTATTGCACAACTTCAATAGGAGACTCTCTACATGACTCAAATGTGCAGTATTTGCAGCACAGACTCCTCACACACTTTCTCTTCAGATAAAGTTCAATCAGTTTCTTCTTACTCATGTTCTCAGTTACTTGAATATTTTTGCTGTCCAATAACCTCCTGATGCCCTGCTTTATAATAAAGAGCCCAAAATTGTATTGCAACATGTCATATCACCCAAGGCCTTATTATTTATTTTGTCTTACAAGTGATAGCTTTATATATACACCCCTAGGGTGGTATTCTCTGTCTTTGCAGCAGTGTTGCGCTGTGAGCTCATATCCAAATAGCGAAGGAACTAAACAAATTGAAAACATTAGAATTTTACTGCTCAAATCTTTGTTCAAGTTTAGCCTCTGGTCCTCAGTGAGATAAATCTCAAGCGGACAGTGAAGTGATATCAGTCTCCAGTTAACATACATTCGCATCATAAAAAACCATGCTGTTGGCACTTTATTCCAGAGAGGCCCCAGACTGAGCCACCACAGAGAGTGAATAGCTTGAAGTTATTAGTGAGGCAGCATGTATTATCTCATACTGCAGTTGTTTGAGCAGTACAGTGCCCATCCTGTGCATAAGTAGAGGAGACCATTTCCCAGCAATGTCACTCTTGAGCACAGTTAACGACTCCACTCAAAGAACGTAACAGGAAGATAGGAAACAAGTTTAAGCCTGGACTCCTGCAGAAGGTCAAAGCACTTCTTCAGGACCCAGTTTATAGTTGCAGTAAATGGTAAGCACTCAGGCTAAAACAGACCCTTGTCCAGCTGAAACTCAGAGTGAAACTAACGTCTAAGAAAATACTGTAGTGGGTAAATAAGCACATCTCTAGAAAATGAATTAATTTTAGCTAAGCAGGATAGATCACTTCAGCATATATATGTATTTTTGTCATAGCAGTGAAATTCATGATTATAAAGAATCTATACCTTAATGTTAAACACCGTGGCTCTCCTAATATCATGCTACCTAAACCATTGTAGAGCAGTGAAGGATTTGGTACGATAGCTTTTGGTAATAATCTTTTAGAAATGCTCTAAAAGTTTAACTAAGTTTCTGGATAGTATCACAAATCATAAGATTTTTTTTCTCTGTAAGTAGCTAGTAAGAGTGGAAGTTAAAGTGAGGCACAGGAAAATCAGAGAAAGTCATTCCCACAACTAATTTATAAGTAAATTAACACAATTGAACATAGTCAAAAAGAGAAGAGACACTGGATTAAAAATTCATACTGTTTGTCATAACCATTATTATTATTTACTTCCACCACCTAGAATTTGGCAGGAAAGAGTAAGAACGAACTTAATGTAAGCTTAATTTACAGCAAGGTTAGAAGGGCTCATAAAAGCTGCTTTATGAATGATCCACTGTCGTATAATAGAGTCAATTTCCAATTTTAAGACAGCCACTGCAAATCTCTACAAGATCTACGTATATAACTAGTATTACGCTTATTCTTTCTTCACTGTTTTTTCCCCAATTCAACCATAACTGATCACATTTGTCAATCAAACATGCTCTTCAAAAGGAAGAATCAAAGTCATAGCAAAGCATTCAGCTTCCTTTTCTAATTGCACTAGTTCTCCCACCACCTAGCTCATAGAAAAGGAACACTCAAACAACTCCTTCGCATTTCCACATGCTTACCAGCTATGGCAATAATGCCCATTTCTTAACCACAGCATGCCCTTCAAAATGCACAGTTACCTGCACTGATAACAACATACCTCACATTTTTCTGGGCAAGAAGAGAGATAGTACCTACACAAAAAAATCAGTGTTGGTGCCCAGCCACACATCTTGCACACTGGTTTACATCTCTTCTATACTATGTACCACTCCATGAAAAGCAGCAGTCACTGAGTAAAGAGCTTACCAAATAAATGCCTATTATTATTATTATTATGTGTGTGTGTTACAGCTTTGCTGCTCTCATACAGGATCCCAAACCTGTGTCAAATAGTATTTGTATGACACAAGTCCCATTCAGAATGAGGCAGGGACAAACTGTTCACAACTATTCGGGAGCTGGAAAGATCCATTTTCTACCACTGCAACCTAGGACATCCCAAAAGCAAGTTAATGTACAAAATAAAACTGCTCTTTCATTTGGTGTCACGTTAGAATCAAGTGTTCCTCTCTTCGCATACACAGTTAGGGTAAAAAACAAATTAAATATAAGGAAAATTACCAAAAATGTTGCTTGTATAAGAACAAAGTGGAAGATAACAGGTCAATGGACACAAACGTGAAACACATGGAGAGGTGAAATGCATAACTGAATGCTCTGGAGAGCACTCTTGTGCTTTGTTTTGTATTCTTGGTTTGGTTTAATAAAATCTCATGATAAAATAATTTCCAGTTTGACTTTTTCTTCACTGGCAAATCCTCCCATCTAAAAATTTTGGTAACTTTTGGAAACCTCAAATTTTATCAAATCACACAGAAGATATGCTATAATGGCACATTATTGAGGTCCTCAGTATGTTTTTAGGGCTTCCAGGTTTAGATAATTAATTCGTAATTCACGTGTGTGCTTTCAGTTAGGTTGTGTTTGCTACATATATAGATCACGTTTACTTTACTTTGTCCCAAGGCAAAGCTACAGGACAACTAGACAATCTTAAGGTCCTTTCCAACACTAACCATTCTGTGACACTATAACATGTTTAGAGTACTTGAAACCAATTAAACTCTTCCATACTTCCACAACTTCATGCCAGTATTACTAGCAGGTTATACTTAGCCCTGTTTTATAGAAGACTCTCCTCTGGAACATACTAACAAAGAACATTTATGTAAAAGTTAGCTATATTAAATGCCTAAATGAGCTCACAGACGAATCAACACTAAGATGTCAGTGAGAATATGCTGTGCTACACTAAGAGCAACACAATGCTTTTACAAAGCTAAGGATTTATACTTTCACCTGCAGAAGAGAGCTCAGGGTTCAGCACATAGATGCTTACACTCACTACTTAGAAATATTATTTTCTTTTTCCTTTTTTTCTTAACAGGAACTATTGTGGAAGTATTCCTTTGACTGCCATGTAAGCTTTGTTACAAACCAGCCTGTTCATACTATCAATTAAACCTTTTTAAAGCATTTAGTTCTGCATAAACCCTGGCCTTTCTTTTTCAAGGACAAGGGCGGTCAGTGACTCGGGAAGCCTTGACATCACTCCTCTGCCTATCTCTGATTAAGTGGTTGCTGTAGAGGGTTAGCAGGTCAAATAGCACTGGAGAAGGAACTAAGAAAAACAGAATGCTGCCTTATTTATTAGTAGATGTACCTAAAATAATTTAAATGAAAGTATTTTTAAAAATATTTAATGGAGGTTAAGCAGCTTTTTTAACCTCTGTTCAAATTATTGAATGGCATATTAAAACCAACGGAGCTGTAATGTACCTTTTAATGTGACCTGCTACTTTAATAAATTGCATATGTATTTAACTTGAACTAAATCTACCAGTTTAATATTATTACTAAGGATGGGTGTTAATATTACCTATAGTTTCACTTTACCGCCAACTTTTAAAAACAAAAACATTAAAATGTAACTACAGAGCTTCCCAATGTTATAATGAACATTTAATATCTGTTTATAGTAATACGGTCCAAAACAAGAAACTGATACATAGCAACTGCAGTATCATCTACTTGTAGGGCCAAATTCTAAGCAGTCCTTGGGAAAGCCAGCACATCCTCAACACAAAAAGGCAAGTGAATGCTTGTAACATGTTTTCCACCTCATCCAAGTTTAAGCAACCATCTCTGTGCCTCCTGCCATGCTCAGCTTTATGCAGGAAGTGCCCTTCCTGAACGGCTTGCACTCCGCCTTCCAAATGCACATTTTTCATTATGAGGAGAGCTGCTGTTCATCAACTTATGCCAGTTAACCTCTTATTCAGTGAACAGGCCATGAGTATCTGTATTTTCTCTATATCTAGAAGAACTAGCCTAACCTTATTTTGGGTACGTTGAAACTGCAGCAGTAACACAGATTATACAACCCCTGGGAATAGAATAAATGTCTGACAGTGATCAGAACATTAGTAATTCCTTCTCATTCACACAGCTAGGAAGAAATGGAAAAATAATTAACAACGTAAGTCAGAGACATGTCAGACATGAAGCTGTCAAAACACACATTAAAAAACGTATGAACTATCATGATATCCAAGACAGTACAACTTACTACATCAAGGAGACTGTCTTCCAGTTTCCTTACCTGGTTTACACTCGTTACACCTTCTCCCCTGACGCTGAGGCAAACAGACACACTGTCCAGAAACATGGTCACAAACTGTTCCTGCTAATGTGCCCAGAGCATCACAGTCACAACGCTGGCAGCCGAGGAGGTTGCTCATGCTGAGGTTGTACGTATGAAGCATGCACTGACTGCACTGAAGGCCAGTTACACCAGCTTTGCAAGGACACTGTCCTGTTGATTTGTCACAAAGCAGAGAGCCAATTACTGTACCTGCCTTATCACAGTTACACGGCAGACAAATAAAGGAATCATTTTCCTGTACTTTGTAGTAGCCATCGAGGCATTCATCGCACTGCCTTCCTCCAATATTTGGTTTACACGCACATTGCCCTGTCTTTGCATCACACACGGTTCCAGAAAATGACCCTGCAACATTACATTCACAAGCCTTACAACCAGTTACATCCAGCCCATAAAAGTTGTCCATGCAGGTGTCACAGTGAAGTCCTTTCACTCGTTCTTTACAATTGCACTGCCCAGAGAGAGGGTTGCAGAATTGGTTCACTGAGCCGTGGCTGTTGCACCAACAAAGCTCACATCCATCTTCATTAGAATATCTGAGAGCTTTAAATCCAAAATTGCAACTATCACACCTGAGACCTGGAAAGAGAAGAGGTATTAATAGGAAAAAAAGCTGGAAAGCTATTAATTTCAATTTTTAAAAAGGGATAAGTATACTTTCATTTGGGAAAAATAAGATAAAGAAAAGAGAAAGTATTCATGGTCTTCACCAGCATAATTAACAGGAATGACAGGGCTGCACAAATCAATTGTGTAGCAGTGGCAGCCCCAAAATCTGTTTACTTTTCTAATTTGGTTCAGAAGCGATGCTTTTCTGCCAGCTTCTCAATACAATTTAAGATACTCCTGCAAGAAATTTTTTGTAACATTTCTAAGACAAACCAGAATTAATCTCTTTGTCTCCCAGAACAGCACCTGTTGCACAATCAATGCTTATGTGAACTCTTCACCCTATATAGTAGCAATATAATACACAGAGAATTGCAGTGGGCTCTCAATCTGCTCAGATAACAGATTTATATGCTATGTTAAAAACATTAAATACACTCTAGAACAACACAAGTTAGACTAATTACGATGAATGATTTACTTAACACTGTAGTCCAGTTTTAACACTGATTACATTTATGGTAGTGTTCATTGTTAGCCCATCCCGAAAGCAGAAAGTGTTTTCCATAATCTAAAATGAAATATTTTTATCTAAACGTATGATTTAGCCAACTCCTGCAGTACATTAAAATCTAAACTGCTTTCTTCATGCTTCATCCTGTAGTTTTATTAGCTTTGTTTTCAAAGTCATCACTCAGCTTATCCCTGCCCCAAGTGATGGCATTTGTGTTTTAGTTTATAAAACGTACATTACAAGAAAGCAAACCAGATTATTACAAGCAGCATGCAAATTCACAGTTCTGTATTTTCCCCTGCAACGGGAAAATCCTTCACTATGAAGCCATCACTTAATTGGTGCATACAGAAAAATATAAACACAATGTTTGAGCAAAATATTGCCATCATTTAAAAAAATACAAAACCATACCAGAACACATCTGGCAACTTATACGTCGAAAAAATAAACCTATAAATGGTAGGAAATGCATTATACATATGGATAAAAACTCAAAAACTCCAACAGAAGGCAAGTTCCTTTAACAGTGATGAATGACTCACCTAAGGCATATCATTTAATTTCAATAAGGAAAATAAAAAAGGACCACTATTGCTGCAAATTTTAAAAATAACTGTATTGTTAACAAGAATTATGACTCATTTTGAACTATTAAAATTGGTCTACATGGATTCATATCATATCAGTTTTAAAAATATGCGCAGTGCTTATTTGAATATGCCATACATATTCCTGACAGGTAATCTATTCCTAACGATACTGAGGAAGGCCTACAGGGCATCACATTCAGTGTTAACAAGTACAGGGGAGTTAGCACGCTTGGCATTTAATTCACATTCTTCTACCTTTTTATTCTAGATGAATGACCTACTTTAATAAAATTATTGGTGCTAATGTATTTTACTGGTGATAGAATCATTAGTAAGATTTAACAGTTGTGTTAACTCTAACAGTTCATGTTTCATAACACCCCAGTCCATAGTTGCATTTTTCTGTTATCGTGTTTGTTTAAATAGATAAAATGGCAATAGACAGATTGCTCTAAAAACCAGTTTAGAAATCCAAAGAGGAAAGGTCGGTGTTGAAGTTTGCTGCACACGTTCCAATACACAGAAGCTTATTTACGAGTGGTTTAGAAAACTAGAGAGAATTTAACCTGGAAATAATTAGGTCTTCATCCTGCAAGCAAACACTTGCATAACTACAGCCCCCACCGTAGTGACAGATAAGTTTGCAGAAAGCTTAGATTTATACTTTTTATTACTATTTCAGTGGAAATAAAAATAATTCTTATTGTTTTTAAAGGCAGAAAATATTTAAAATTATATGCAGACTATCAAATAGATGAGAACCAGATTGTGCCTTTCTTTGTAAACCAAACTCCCACTGAGTCAAGAAAGGTTTTCACAGATGCAAACATGAAATGGGGGCAAAGAATATCCAATTAAGAATGCTCTGAAGTCCTTTTTATCGAATGTAGAGAGTGTGCTTAAGATGCATGGAGGTTGTCTTTTACTCTTAGGACAATTTTAATGTATGGAAAACATAGGTACTTGGCATTCCACAGGAAAGAGGACAGAAACTATTCAGGCTTATGTCTGTTTAGAGTTATTTTCATTATTTGCTGTTATTTTGCATTTGCTTTTAGAAATCAGAAGAAAGAAGAAACAAAGACTCACAATATTACAAATAAGTCAATATTCACAAGTCGGTGAGTTATAAATTAAGATGTATTTAAACATTGTTAATACAACCCACAAGCCTGGTTGGCTCAAGAAAAAAATAGGTTACTAATTGTGTTAATAACAAAGCAAAAAAAGATCCATCTCCTTTTTTGAGGCATGTATAGTCTAGTCTGTGACACACACAGTTATCATGCAAGGCTCACTTTATCAGGAAATTCTCCTTGCATAATATTCCCATACATCAACATTTCAAAGTGTATTATATATACTGTGTATTTTGGGCACTTGATAAATTTTGTCCTTATGTAGCTGTGGCTCCCCTCAAATATGCTGGAAGTAATAAATTGCTATAATCAAATCTAATTTCTGAAAAATACCTGTGGGAGTAACAAACAAAAAAGCCCGTCTTGTGAAAAAAAATGATAAATAACACAGAAGGTAGCATTTTATTATAATCAGCTTGGCATTGAATTACAAAATTAAAATTATGTGGCCCTTGATAACTAACCCAAGCTATGTACATGATCTGTGGAATTATGTTGACTTATTTTGCATTTCATAGGAACAGTTCAAAGAAATATAATAGAAAAAAAATGGATAGATTTATCACAAAGGACCCTGTAGCACAGAATATTTTGAGGGGAAAAAAAAATCCATTTATTTTGGTCTATTAAGAAAACGAGCATGGAAACGATTTGCTTAGAACTCATTAAGTATAAAACATTTGGAAAAAAGGTGTTAATTTCCTAAAAGAAACATCTATGCAGAAAGCAAATTACATTATTTCTGTGACTTATTAGTATGGAGCTATGTAAGCTAATGTAGCTGTGCCATAAAGAAACTTCTAAAGGGTTGATTAAACTAAGCTTCAAGCTGTAGTTTGATAGAATTATTAAATTAATAATTTTTCAACAGTTAATTTCATTCAGTTTTATAATCTGCCTTCAGCAAAGAAGTTTACTGTACTTTTCATTTAGAAATCAAGTGGTTTATTTGCAGAGAAAACAAGAAAAATGGCTCCAAGCTCTTGCATTACACATACCAATAACATTTGCTTTGCACTTGCACTGGCCTGAATTTTGGTGACAGGTAATATCTCCATTGACTGTCCCAGAGGTATTACAGTTACAGGGACTGCAGCCATCAGGGTTTGACTGTTGTAGATTGTAGAATCCTTCCTGGCACTGATTGCATTGTCTGCCAGACACATGTCTCTTACAATTACACTGGCCTCCAATCTAGAAAGATACAAAATATTATAGAATGGTGAACATACCTATTTTTAGATGATACATTCATTAGCAACAAGAACGGGAGTCTGAGTTGGGGAGGAGAAAACTTTAAATGGTACAGAGAATGTATATGTGTACCACATACCCTTTTTACATTTGTGTTGAGAGAGACAAAAAAAGAGATATATGAAGCAGACTATAACTATTAAATTTCTTAATAGAGCTTTAAAGTCCTGTTCTTTCAAAACAGAAGGAAAAAAGAAGTGAGTCAACAATGTGGCCATATTTATCATCTGGACAGAGAAAATGCAAATAATAATTACAAAATTGCCCTGTATAAATTGTGACTTCTATTAAAACAAACAGTACTTTTTGAATCACAGGTACTGCAAAACATCTATATTTTCAAAGGTTAAGTTTGTTTAGGCCACCATATACATATTTATTTTAGTGCAAATGTTAGTTAAATAAGAGTGAAGCAAAGGGGAAAGATTTCTCTTCTGACCACTCATCCAAGACAAATTTTCTCTTTCTTTACAGCAGGATGTGACCCAATAGCTCAGTATCTGAAATCCTCTCCCTCTTTTCTTGGTTCAGCTGGGATCCAAGTGTTCCACCTCAGTGGTGGGATATAAAGGTGTTCTCCTATTCCCTAAATGGGTAGCATCGCTACCTGAAAGGAGCTGAGGCATCCTTTGTTACACCAGGGCCATGATCTGGGAGTATTTTTCCCACATCCTGTGCAAGATTAAAGGACTCCTTAAAAACTATCTCAATTTCAAACCTATGAAAGCTGGGTGGGGAAAACAAAAAAAACCCCAAAAACACAAGCAAAACCAACCCAACCAATCTTTATACTCATCACTTGCAAATATGGTGGGAAAACTGACTACAGGGAAACAGGGAAAGGGCAATGGTACAGAGACAGGGAAACAAATGGAAGATATAAGCCAATGAACAAGATACCTGAGAACACAGTCAAAACAACACAGAGATGCAGCAGACGTGAATTGGCAAAAGATTTAGGATTCATAATCAAGGTACAAAACCTAACTTTTCTAACTCAGGTGTTCTGGGGAACACAGAGATGGCAGAAAACAAATTCTCTATTATTTTTCTTTGGGTCAGTGTATTTTTTTCAGTGCAAATATTTACAAATACGAGAGCAGAGTGATTCAAAACTATTCATCCATAACATCAACAGCTGTAGCTCAATATACTTTGCTTTTAATTAGATACCAGAACAAAAATGTTTCTTTAAAATTATCTTTTTCATCTTAATGCTGTGAATACAGCAAACCTAAAACAACAGGGGAGTCCTGAGGCATTAGAGACAAAACTATTTGAAAGTTCCACTTAAAATAAACGTTATCATCATACCCTCCAATCTGCAATGAAGCTTTATTAACACAAGAGAGAGAGTATTTCAACATCTTATAGTAAACTCAGTGCAGAGAACACTGAAGGAAAGTTAGAGAAGCATGTATTCCTACCCCTTCCTCATAAAAGCCCCTGTAGTCCAATAACACCTCTTCAATATGCTAACAAAGATCTATTACCAATATATCAGCCACATTTTTAAGGAAGATGAAGATATTAAAAAAGTAGGAAAACACCACTTAAACAAAAGGCAAGAGAGCAGAAAGTACAAAAAGGTAAGAGTTAAGGGACCACAGCAGCAGAAAACACAGCAACAAGGATTTTCAAGTTACTCCCTTTTAGACTGGACTTGATCTTAATATTTAGTTTGCTATAAGAGACCCAGTCATGCATCACAGCCATTCCTCGAAGAACTCACACGTGAAAAGCCACTCTTGAGTTTAATCCTAAATGAAGAAAAATACCCTGTTTAATACCTAACTGCGAAAGAAACATTTTGTGTTAGTGATCGTATCATACTCAGATTACACAAGAGCAAGTGTTAGATACCTCATTAGCACTCAACAAATATCTAACTTATACCCCAAAAGACTTTAAAGCTACTCCAAAGCTACCATATGAAGGAAAGCATTACAAAAAGTGGAATTCTGATCAAATTAGGAAAGTTAAGAGAGGATAACCACCACTAAATTTAAAAACCAGAATAAGGAAATACAAAAATCAGCTTTTAATGAACAACATGCTTAAGAAATAAATCAGAAATAAAGGAAGACTACCACAGAATCAGTGAGGGCAATAAATAATTAAGTGGTGTGATTAGCAGATATAGGTTGGAAATCAGAACTTTTTAGTAATAGGGAAGTGCAGCATCAGTAACAGGTTGCCAGAGGTTATGTGGATTCTCCATCCCCAGAGGTATCAAGGCTCATCCAGACAAAATCATGACTAAGTGACTCTAGTTCCGACAACAATCCTGCTTTGAGCTGGAGGAGACGACCAACTAATGCTTCTTTGATTCTGTGTAGAATTCAGGACAGACAGAACCACAACAGAGATTAAAAAGGAAGCTTCTGAGATCTACAGACTAGTAGTAGCCTTTTTCTGTATGGAGTAAATTAATAGAAATTAGTTTGATATATTGGAAAAGTTTGGCACTTTTTTTGCAAAGAAAAATCATGCTTCATGATTCAACTTCACTTCTTTAAGTCAGTAACAAGTGTTGAACCAAATGAATCATCAAAAAATCAAATTAATTTCTACAGCAAAAAGTACAAACTTAACACCTGGAGAAAACTAATGTTGACTCTAGACAGATGGTGCTGAGTCCAAAATTAGCTATTATCAGTCAAGAAAGGAGCTGTTAAAGATACTCCATTCCCCCTAAAAATCACTTGAAATCTCTGAGGCAGTCAAAAAAAGAAATAGGAATACTGGAATTAATAGGAAAAGAACTGAAAATTATGCAGAAAATGTCATTCTGTCATAAAAATACATTGTGTATCTCCACATTTTGCACAATTTGTATACCTGGTTACCCTCTCTAAAATAAAAGAGGTCACAGAGTGAGTAGAATAAGCAAAGATAGAAACGAGAAAGACTGGGGGCGGGGGGAAAAGAAGACTTCAGTTTGGAAAGAGATGACTGAAACGTAGGGAATACAAGCCTATGAAGTCATTAATGGATTACACAATGAATACTCATTGTTTCTCACAATGTAACAGGGAGAACACACCCAGGAAATTATCAGAAAGCAAATTTAAAAGAATGAAACAGACTTTTCCTGTACACCTTGAACGTATGTAGAAAAACACAATACTTCTTTGAAATGCATTAAAGAATGAGTCAGATTAATTCTGGATGTGGACACCAAACATGACAACTCAGCCCTGTGTTTGGCTCAGTCCCAAAACAATAAATAACTGAATCTAGAGAAGTGTAGTATCACAGAAGGATCGTGCTTCTTAACACCAGCTACTGGTAACTATCAGAGAGGCCATCAGAGTTGTGGCTGCCCCATCCCTGGCAGTGTTCAAGGCCAGGTTGGACACAGGGGCTTGGAGCAACCTGCTCTAGTAGCGGAAGGTGTCCCTGCCCAGGGCAGGGCGTTGGAACTGGATGAGCTTTACAGTCTCTTCCATCCCAAACCAGTCTGTGATTCTGTGATACTCTGCTAGATGAAAGTCTCATTTCAGCCAGTACAGCTGTTCTTATAAACACATGGAAACCCAAGTCTAATCATGAGCAGCTTAGTAGCCATTTTCTTATGGAACGACTGAAATATGCACATTACTGAGTTCTAAGAGAAGCAAAGAGCAACACTATCTTCAGCATATTTTTAAGTGTCAAGCTATTATAAGCAGTAATTTCCACCCAATTCAGTTGCAGAAAATATATGTCCCCAAACTTTCTCTTGACAGTCTTAACAGAAGAACACAATATTCATCCAGAAACCAGCCAATGAAACTACTTGGAGATCTCCTTAGATAAATTTCCTCCTACCTTGCCATCACGGAAAAAAGGGTTTTCCATCTGTAAACAACACAAGTGGCAAGTGGTTTCCTGGGTCTAAAACGAGGGAAAGACTTTCATGGCAGTTTGAGGAAAGTATAGGAAATTAAAGTTTCTGTTACAGGGGAAGGCGTATCATATTCCTTCTTAATAGATCTGAAAAGAGGTTTCTATGTGCTAAAGGATCTGTAAATAATCCACTGACATTCTTCCCTACCACTGATTTCAAAGTCTTGTAGAAAAAAACTCAAGCAGAAAAAAGACATTCTACAGACAAGACAAAAAGGAACCTCTGGCTGTATTCACAAATGACTGGTTTGGCTTCGTCTTAGCTATAAGTGACTTGAAACCCTTCCATTCTGCTTCTTCAGCCATTTTCTGCCAACACAGCATCCGAAGATGAAAGATATCTATTAAGTACAGAAGAATATTCAAAATACAGAATAACAAACTCAATTATACAACTCCACTTTTAAGCCTGCCTTCTACAGTAAGCATGGCATTATAAGACACATGAATATCAGCTAAGGAAAATATGCCACTCTAATGCACCCCATATTACCGCATACACTTCAAATAGCTGTGCAGAAATTTAGAGAAACAGTTGAGAAATATGCTCCACATAAAAACAGTAGATGGAGGAGGGAAAAAATAGCTAAAAGGAGTCGTAAAACTGGGAAGGTTTTGTAGGGTTCTGTAACTGATTGCCATGGATGCTAAGCTCTTCAGTATTTCAGTAGCACACTGAATACAGAAGGGAGAATATGCTTACAAGCCCCATAGATTACCTCTGCTCAGGAGGCTCCAGCCAGCACCATCATGACCTCGAGGGGCAGCAACCAGCTTTAATGGCCCTGAGCAGCCCACTTGGGGCCTCCACTCACACCCTCTGCATGTATCCCAGCAGCTCCAGATAAAACCTAGTGTGGGCATCTGCGCCCACCCTGGGATATGGAGCGTTGTGCCTGTCGCCCTGGAAGGCTCTCTTGGACTTAGGCTGCAGCCATGTCTTCAGCCTCATCTCCTGCTGGCTCCAGACTGGACCCGCTGAATGGACCCCGGACCTGATTTATCACTTTGCCTTGTTTGGGGTTGTCTGAGGGTCCTGTTATGAGCAC